ATAACTAAAAAGCCCTAAACATTCTATGAAAATGTGTTAGAATTAATATATGAATTTGTCAAAATATTTGATACAGCCAACACACAAGCATCAATTGCAATTCTGTACAGTAACAATGGAACAATCTGAAAAGGAAATTAAGGAAACAATTATATTTAGAGAACAACAGCTGTGCTTTGAATGCTAGTATGCCCCCCCCGCCCCGAATTCACATGCTGAAACTTAATCCCAAGTATGGGATGGGCACCTGACAGGCACTTACATCATGAGAGGGAAGCCCTCATGAATTAGGGTTTGTAGATTAACATTCTTGTAAAAGAGAATTGAGAAAAAGTTTTTACTTCCCTTCTGCAAGTCTTGCTCATTCAAAAAAGATATTCTAAAGATAACTGCAGAAGTCAGGAAGCAGCAATCGGGATGAATAGGGCCAGTGACTTCCACTCCAGCTTAACACAGGTGTGATTACAGCTCACCACTAAATTAGTGTTAATTTTATACCCTAAATTAATATATTCAGTTCTTTTTTCACATGTGTGGTCTATGTCAGAACACAGGCCAAGAGTCCAATTTACTTTCTAAGCATAAGATTCCAGATAAGATAATTACCTTTGTAAAAATTTATCATTGATATAATCAATAGAAGGGGCTAATAAGTTGCAAGTTTGTTGTGAGAATTAAATCATAAGTATTTACAATATTTTAATAAATATGGCACAGTTGGACCCATATCTCATATACAATAAATTATCAGTAAGTGGCCGGTATGGTTATTTTAATTATAATTCCATTTTTAGTTTTTTCATTTGTACAATGGGAGACATTAAGTTAAACTCTATATTATTGAAAGTGTTTTGTTTAAAATGGAACCTTTATTTTTAATATCCTTGGAAGAATTCCATCACGGACAACACTATTAATAAAATAATAATGGGTACCATGCTTGGCATTTTAATGAAATCACTTTTATTCAGAATCATCAATTAAATTTAAAATTGTTGGTTATCTATACTACCCCCTCCTCCCCAAAATTAGCTTTACACTTTAGGAGTTAGTCTCCTAAAAATCAAAGTACAAAAATGTTAAAGCCAAAATTATAACATAATTTTTTTAATTGAAAGACACTTCTTAGACACTTTAAAGATTAATTAGTGATACTATGGATTGAATCCAGGGCCTTGTAAATGCTAGGAAAGTGCTCTACTGCTGACCTAGTCCTCAAACCCCTTCAAAGATTTATTGCATAACAATAACATGTTGATATTTTTCTAGATATGGGAGACACAGTGATGGTGAAAAGATCAGTCAGTATCTAGTATATAGGGAGAAGAGAGGCATACAGAAATGATTTATAATGCAGGGTGAAATTGTCTCAGCAGAAGTACATGCTTTTTCAACAAAGTACGGAAAAATTAAATCAGCCTGAGTCTCTTTGGGAAGGAAGACCTATAAGAAGGTAATGAAGATGAAAAGGAGATTCTAAATAAAAGCTGAGAAAGGAAGAGGAGAAGTCTTCCAAGACGACAGAGTGCTATGAGAAAAGTTCTGTGGAACCCAGAACGGATCCGACATAAATTGGAATAGCAAAGTAGTTCATGTTGTCAGAGCAGAGACTACATGGAAAAGAGAGGTAGAAGTTAGAGGACCAGCTTATTAATGGCATTTAGGATTAGTTGACTAGCTTGCAATTTTCTTCTCCAGACCATGGAAGATCAGTGTGGATTTACAAACAAGGAATTGTTGGATTAACTCTAACAAATGATGGCAAAGAAAATGCTATTCATTTCCTTTCTTGATGTTGAAAATTTTTGGTTAGCAAGCAGGCTTCTGAGAATTGGGTGGGGGTAAGAAGATGGCAACAACATCCTCTACCAGCCTCCCTCCCTCATCCTCACCTAGGTTATCCTCACCTTCTGCTGAGGAGTGGATCAAGAAGGCAGAGAGCATATTAGGAGACAGTGGCTGTATATTTCATATTTTCATTTTTCTGATTTTGTAGACGATGTTTTAGTAGTATGGAAATTCAGTTTTATTGATGAACTGAGCATTGCCACAAGCCTCAGAGGTAATTAAAATAACTCATATAAAGAAGGGATCTTCTGTATGTGTTATCAAGAGTTGAGAGTTCTCAGAGAACTGGGAATTCTCAACACACTTCCTCTGTTGAGGAGAAGCCCAAAGGGATATGGGTTCAGATCACTTTTTCTGTATGTTTGTTACTTTTGTGTAGAAATGAGACCATGAAACTCATACGTAGTACATTCCAACAATCAACAAGACAAAGAAGAAATAAATGTGCAGAAATCTACAAAAGCAAAGCATTAGAATTCTGATTCCAAAGAAGCTATCAAAATCATCTCATCCCAGTGGATTCACTGTAAAACAGAATCAAGCATTGTTCTTTTTCCTTTTCTCTGACTAAGTTACCTCATGGGAAACTGCACTGCAGTTCAGAAATTTAAGCAGAATCAGGATGCTTGGTTTCCATGCCAACCATCGCAACTTCTCTTTTATTTCTCATTTATTTATTTATTCATTTAACCAACACATACATATTGTGTATCACAAATATTTCTTATATCTGCAGGTTGAGAGTTAGGAAGATCTAGACAGATCCTGACCTCATTGAGTTTCAAGTCTACTGAGGGAAAGAGGTACTAAACAAATAAATATACAATTGAAGCACTTCAGAGGCCAGCCAAGACTTTCCTTTCTGCCCACCAAGAAATAGCTTAGATTGTTGGGAACTTCTGACCCATGCGTGAACCCCTGACCCATGTCCTGGAATGGTCAGAAGCTCTTTTCAACACATGATGCAGTACCTCCCTGTCTCATGGTCTCCTACGTGATTAGGCTTTTCATTGTCTGTGATGGAGGAGCCACTCTTCTACACCTCATCCAATGAAGGCATTGTGCATAGCCATTCTTCAGTTTCCTCAGACATTCATTCATGTGAATCACTGCCAAGTGTGGCTAACTTTAATGAAGATGTAATTGATAGTGGGACCAGTCCACAGTAAGGCTGCCCAGGGAATGGATGCGAAGAAAGAATTGAAATATTTGGTTTTCAAAGCCCATTCAAATCTTGGCTTCCCTTTCCACCATTGCCCCAAAATAACCAAGCAAGCAACCAACTAACCACAATAAGGACAATTTCCAGTAGACAAATCTCTTTTATTCTTTGTGGAGTCTGGTCATCTTTTTTGTCCCTTAGGGGTTCTTGAAAATTACCATGCCCAGAGAGTCACATCTACTCCATCTACTCCTAAAGGCTTATCTACATATCATATCATACTCACCAAAGATAATTTTTTTTATAATGTGAGACTGCACCAGGCCTTGTGTATCCTAGGTACTTGCTAGAGTGCTAAGCAACTTCCCCAGTGCTTGGTTTTGAGACAAGGACTCACTATGTAACTCATGCTGGGCTTTCACTCACAACATAGCCCAGGTTAGCTTCAAATCCATGGTCACCCTGCCTCTTCCTTCTGAGTGTTGGGATTTCAGGCATGTACCATCATGCCTGGCCTCCAAAGACATTTTACATCTCAATAGAAATTGTGTTGCCACTTCTTAAGATAAATATTGTGAGTTTGAATATATGACAAATTATGAGGCAAGTTTTGACATAAAAGTGAGGTAACAATGCACAGAGTAGAACAGGGGAATCAAATTTACACTGAAAAAGCAAGGTAGCAAAAAATTCTCTTATCTGGGAATATGTAGCAATTCTCAGGCTCACTAGGCAGGAATAGTGATTGGGGAAAAGAGCATTCGCAACATGGAAGCATCAGTAGAAAACTCTGGAGACAGAAAAGAATACAGAGCACCTTGGAAACCGCAAGAGGCCAGCATGACTAGATCCTAAGGAACAAGAGGAGAGAGATGGGGTTGAAGACAGAGAGGTAAGCAACGACCAGATCATGTGGGTCCTCCTGGGTTGTGTGACTCCTATTTTTAGGTTCCTAACTCTTTACTAAAGAACAAAATAACATCATTAATTATTTTCTCTAAACTTTGAGTTTATTGATTTTTGAAACAAAAACAGTCATGCCAAAGCTGGCAAACTTACACACATAAACACACTTGCATGCGTGCATACACACACATACACACACGCATGAACACACACACACACATGAACACACATACACACACACACACACACACAGTACATAAAGCACCTTCTTCAAAGGCTGTTTAACTTGGCATTATTAAGTATTCTGTCTTGTAACTGCAAACATGATTCTGCATCAGCCAGGTAAGAAGCTGAAAAATATTTTCATATTCACTTTTCTTCCATAGGAGTTTCCTGAGGAGAAACTAGAATTATGAGAGTTTTTGGAAGAGCTTAAAAATGTTGTCTGCCAGCAGCACATGAGTTCTCTTCCACTTTTCAGAATCTGTGTCTGCCCAGCTGACACACTGTTCCCCCCGGGAGCGACAGGCTTCTTCTCCCTGTGCTTTACTATTGGCATGTCATGGCAGGAAGGAGTCCAAGTTCTGTTTACCACCAGGGTAAACTACTTTATCATTACATTCTTATCAAAAGGCACTTTGGGGGTTCAGTATGTCCCCATGTATTCACAGGTACTGATAAAGACACCTCTGTAGACATTGTGCCCACTGCTTACTGTCATGGACAATCTAGCCCTTAGCCCTTTATACAACACAGTAGATTCATGTATTCACTCTATTTTCTAGAAATAAGTTATTTTGTTATTTCCCTCCTATCTAAGACCTTACTTTTCTTCTCTGGTCTTACTTTTAAACTATTAATATCCATGCCTTTTAAGCTGTCTTTTTATTGAAAGTAATAAATTAAGACATTCATTGTGAGGTGGTTCACCTTTTGCCTAAGAATTACCAGAACTACATCACATGTGCACAGTGTTCAATACACAGGAATCATTTCCGGAGCAATAAAAATCACTGAAGTCCATTATAATAACTTATATTATAACACACAACGAACTTGTCATACAGTATAACACTTTCAAAGGAAGACACGTTGAGTAAGTGGTATCTTCTTCAAAATGCATCCATTGGTTATTTGCTGAAACTGAATCTGCTGTAGGTACTAAGACTCTATCTGGTCATCCTGTGAGTCTATACTTAGGGTGGAGGCTTGACTACTGGTGTCAACATTTTCATAAGACTTTTGGTCTTTGGCAAAGTTGATGAAAACCTGAAGTTTTTCAAAGAAAATAAAGCCATTAGTGCAAGGTAAACATGAAATAAGGCTTAATATCTGCCCCCAACACACACAATTTATGAAAATCAGAATGTGCCCACATATGTACAAACACATCCTCACTAGAAGTTCTTTTATATAGCCAACTTTAACTGGAATTTGAAAAGAATACCCTATCTGTGACTATGGCTACATTTTAGCCACAATCTAAATTTAAAGTTATAGCTGAATATCTATAGCCACATATCTGTAATCTGTATTGATATCCATATTAAATATGGATAAGGAGCCCAGACGAAAGCCTCATTAAATGTTTAAATAGAATGTTGGGAAATAGTTCCCTAGTTTTGGGAAGTAATGCACTAAAATAAAACTGTGTAGAAAAGCATATCATGTTGTTTGCCATTTATTTAACAGGTAGAACACTTTGTATGTTTAAAACCATTAAACCTATGAGTCATAGATTTATCCCAACATTACCAAGGTCTAGTGTTTCAAGGCATGGTTCATAAAGTTGGTCACAAGTCTAAGGCTAACTCTTCTGTGTTAGCAAAGCCATAATTGTCTTAAGTTCCTCTTGAGATGTCTAAAGCCCCATAAAATATTAGTACATAATACAGCCCAATTGAGTAAGAAGTCCATCAGATTTTATTTTCAGACCCATTTCAAAGACAAAGATTCTGTCTATACAACATGTTGGTTGAGCTGTGCAAAACTAAGACAGTGAAGAAATGGTGGATGACCTGAGAAACCACTAGTATTGAGTGCAAAAGTAATTAAGATATGCAAAGGGAAGAAAGGAATTCTTCATTTACTATATTAATTGTGTGAACTTAATTGACCTGAAGAAATGTCTGAACATTCTCTGAAGATCACCCCTGCACCCTAATCCAGGAACTGATCAATATAAACCTTCTTTATAACAACGACCAGGAGAAAGTAGGGAAAGCATCAACAGCTATTTGTTTTGTAGGTGACAATAGCAACTTCCTGCTATCTGTATTCATGTGAACTTTCATGGATGTAGATTCATATAATGGAGAAATCTTCATTTTTCCACTAAAACACTTAATGCCTTGTGAAGGTCTGATCTCTGATCTGAAATCAACTCAGAGCTGGAACAAGAGGCCTCAGTTATTCTAGTACATAAGGTTTAACAACAGCCATTTGTCCATCTGTACTAGAAATTGTTTTATATTCTACACTAACATTAACTACTGATACTGGCCGAGCTCCAACTCCTTTGATATCACATTTCATAATTTGTGTAATCCAATTAGACGGCCAGTCATCTTTTTAAATAATAGTAATATCAGAGCCAGTATCAATCAGACCTTTAAAAGATCTGTCTTGAATTTTAAAATTAATAAATATGAGGCTGTTGTGCTTGCAGCATCATAGCCCAATGAACAGAAATGGGATTAATATTTCCATTGATTTCAGATCAGAGATCAGACCTTCACAATACCTTCGCACCTGTATTTTAATATCTCAGGTACAAGGTTACATATTGCTTTAATTAAAATTAAATTAGGTGCCATTAAAAAGAAATAACTAGAAAGCATAATAACTAATATATGACACTGTGCCCATGGATTGTGGTACACATCTCACCTCTTCCAGAGTGGTCTGGCTCACAAGGAAGTTTGTGATATTTAAAGCAGTCTTATTGGTTTCCAGCAGGTCAAAAATGTTTGCTACTCCTCCTGCTGTGACAGGCACGTGATACTCTAGCATGCTAAGGTGCTGATCCTGTGGGAACCAAGGGGGGAAACTTGTTTACAATGCTAGGTAACATCAATTCGATCTTACTTAGCTTTACAGAGAGCTAAGAAAAGTACTGAGAAAGTCATTCCACTGAAAAGATGAGGCCACGGTGTAAATAATGGATAATCTTTGAAACTAACAGCTTGTAGAGATGAGATGAAAAACTTTATGAACGTCAAAGAGAAAACAAATTAAAAAGTTAATGAAAATTCCAAAGCATTCTGAAATTATGAGCACTTACAAAATCATAATCTCATCTAGAGAAAAAAAAATAGCAGAATGTTTTTCTCACATCAGCTTATTCTTAGTTCACAAATCAGTTTGGAGATCAGTTTTAGAAATTTCACTTTTATGTTAGATAGTCCTAAAATTCCAAGAACTGGCTGTTCAACTGATATGGGCTAAAACTGTCAGACTTCAATAGCATTGTTTAGGAGAAACCTTATTCTATTGATGCTGCATCCTTTCTCAATTCACCTTAAAATGCTTTTCAATTTTTAAATTTTAGTCAGTAGTATCACTATCTACTTAGTAACCAATTGTTACTGCCTTGGAGTAGCTCTAACACCTCGCTTTTCTGAGCACTTAATCATTTATTATCTTTTTCCCTTTAAGACAGCTCTCAAATTTGACCTTTCCTCTCTATTTGCACTATTCATGTCATAACTTGATGTTCTTCACTCCATGCCTGAATTCGTGCAACAGCCTCTTTGGAAGCCTAGAAACTGGACACGTTGATTTATTCTGGCACAGAACAGCTAGAGTAACTGTGTCTAAATACAAGTTTGATCAGATGTTGTCTTATCACTGAATCTACCCCGAAGATGCCTACGACTCTTGTTAAGCTGGTGTATTTCAGCCTGCTGTTCAAAACTTGTGATCTTCTTGTTCAGAACCTAGCCCCTCTCATAGACTTGTACTTGCATTATCCTTGCTCCTATAATCTGGCCATCTTGTTTATTTTAATTCTTGAATGGTTCTTGATATTTCACACTTAGAGATCTAGAAACTACTGCAGAAGTATAAAAGATGCTTTGCTTAGGGAGATATCAAATTTTATCATCAGCTCATGTGCTCTGGATAGCTTCACTCCCACAATGAACAAACCAGGAAAAATGCAATCCCATTACTCAGTAAATAAAGATTTCAACCAAGCAATTGACCAAAGGTATGTGACCAACACAATTTGTTCAAGAAAGGTGTCCTTTAATTTTCAATTTGAGTTAAACTTAGATGATAGAAAATGGGCTTTGATATGAACCTTGAAAGCTATTATGCCTAAAGAAATTATTCCAGGCTGAGGAGGCTGAGGCAAAAGCATTTTGTGAAGACAAAACAATTCTTCTGAAGATGCATTCTTTTGTTCTCTACTACCACCTTACATTAATATTATGCCCTATAGTTTATGAACACACTTAAGATACTTTTCAATTTAGTTTTCACAGCAGTTTTGTGAAGCAGATCTTTATTCCTGCTTACAAATAAGAACACTGAGCTCCAGAGATTTAAAATGTCTCATTAGCTATCGCCTCACCACACCAGGCTCGACCCAGGGCTTTCTGATTTCCTTTCATGATTCCACTCTGATTTCATTCTCACAATAATTATTTGTCATCTTCAGTGTTTGCAAAGTGCCTGTCCATCAGAGACATCATAATAATTGTTTTTTTCTGTCAAGGGCATTAAGCAAATGCTACATGAGATTTAAGCTCTTATATCCCTGTGGTCCATCCTGTGGCTATTACTGAATAAGAAAGGAGAAATCAATGCTATGATATTTCAACTACTCTGGGAATTGAGGACTGCTCAGACCTTTGAGGGTTTATTTTTCAAATGAGAGGGACAGAGCAGATAAAATCCCCTAATTGTGGCATTCTGAATTCAATAATTGTTTTCCTAAGAAATGTTGGTCAGATACCTCTCAACCCTCAGTTCCCTAATTCATGTATGTGACTACTGAACTGGAATATATACAGCTTGGAAACTAATTCAGTATGACCATAAAGACTTTGTGAGAAGAAATTAATAAGCATATTTGAAATAACTAGATTAACTTAAAGTAACTAGAAAAACATATAACCTGGGACTTCCATCTGTTCCTATTGAGTGTTTCAGAGTATCTCACACATCTGGAACTACTGGATTACAGTGAGTAACAAAGCTGTGAGCTACTTGGGAGTGCCAAACATCCACTCTGATATTGGGCTGTGACAAGTGAAGCCAGTCAAGGTCAAAAGGCGTGGACAGCACTTACTTTTAAGTATGTTTTTGGAAAGTGCAGCTGCATAAACCTTGTGAGGGTCTCCATGCTCACTTTGTTATTCTTCAAGTGAACCTTGACAGTAAATCCACGTCCAAACCTAAAAAGTGTAAAATATAGTATGAGTTACATTTTGCCAAAATAGCTCCCCTGGAATTCTAGATAATGAAACCGGTCCCAAGCTGGCCATTATGGTCCCTTTCCTTATAAAAAGACTGTTATTTTGCCATAAAAGTTCAGAGCACGCTGCAAACTGGAAATAGCTCAATGCCATGCCCCACCCCATAGCATGTCAGAATCTTTGAGTGAAAGCAGTATTGGAATGAAAATGTAAAATCCTGACTTTCTTTGACAAACATGAATTAGCAATAGATGTCAGTTTGGGGGGTTAATTCCTTCACATTTAAAGTTAGCAAGATTTGAGGGGGGACAGGTCATTGGAGATTTGATGTCAACAATAAAGATTAAAGTCACTGGGACTCTAAACCTAAATATTAATTCAAGATGCTGGAGTTTACTTCACTGAGTAGAGTTTGTAAAGATGTCACAAAAAAAAAAAAAAACACCCTACAAGCAACACAATGTTTCTGTCATCATTTTTTTCCTTATCTTTGTTAATGCTATTTTTATAAGACAACCAAGTTGCTATATGGAAAGGAATATAAGCATCATCTTGAAATTTGGAGATTAACATAACTATGTATAAATACCCATACACTATGGTGAATATAAACTAATCATGTTATTTTAATGTGATGATAACATGATATTTATGCATATTTCCCCAATGCATTCTTGATTAAAAGGTTTTCAATATGGTGAAATGTTAAATAGCTTATGGAAAGCTTGTGTAAATGGCAAATGAACATGGTAGATTTTTAAAAAGATCTTGCCTTGTACTTGTCAAGTCTAATTTGTTATTGGGTAAAATCTTGGAACTACTTCCTAAGAGTATTTCAGCTGTAAATTATTTATTATTATGACCGTTATGAGCTTTAATCTTGTAAGACTTAGAGTTATAAAATAAAAATACAGGAAACCTGCAATAAAATTATTTAAATTTAAGGTGAGTCAACGACACTTCCAGCTGATAACTTCTTCATCCTCATTTTACTATTGACTATTTTTTTTCTTTGTCTTTTTGTTTTTTGGTTTTTGAAACAGGTCTCACTATCTAGCCCTGAATGGTTTAGAACTTGCTGTGTAGACCAGGCTGGCCTCAAACTCATAGAGAGCTGCTTGCCTCTGCTTCTCCAGTACCAGGATTAAAGACATGCACCCCCACACCCAGCCGGTTTTACTATTCATCGCATGGTGGGAAGCTGAAATATAGCACTGGCCATAGCTCTGTTAGATCAATTACCCTATATCACATGTAAACAGCATATTTGGTCTTTACCTGCTTTTTATGTGTTGCAAAGATCCAATGCACTGGAACCTTCCATTCACCATAATGGCCAGCCTGGTACAGAGGGCTTCACATTCTTCCATGCTAAAAGAGAACAGATGCCTATCAACATTCAGGGTGCAGAAAAATTAGGTTGAAGTTCATAAGCATATGTTTAATTAGTTTATTATGGTACCTTAGAAGTTTCCCCTGGAGAACAACAACAAAAAACTTAAAATATAAATTAAATTTCTTTGTATGGAATCTTACTGTCCTTTCATGTTTGAGGCCATCTCTTTAATCTGGAGTACCTTCTATTGTCAAGCCCGATATTTTTTCAAGTTCTTTTAAACTTTGACTCAAGACCTACATTTTCTAAGAAGTGTCTCCAAAATGACCCTGAGCTTCTTTCATTGTACCCCATACTCCTACTGACTTTATGTTTTGGAGTTTATAACTGATTAACTTGTACCTGGTTATAAGCACTGTCCTTTCATGGATTGCCATATCTAGAGGAAATCTTAGTTATTGCCCTGTTCACTTCATGCCAAAGTTCATGCAAAGGAAATGATTGACTCTAGGTGATGGGGACAGAGCTGGAATGTAAACAAGTCTCTTGGTAATAAACACATCTAATATTTTTGTGCTATGTGCTCATTATAATGCAATCCAAATTATAGCATGTAGCCAATGTCTTAAGAGAGACACAGACAAAATGTGTTAGCATCTCTCCTACTTAGCTGACTAGGAAGGATATTTGTGGAAGAAAGCCACGTGAGCTTGTTCTAGAGGAACTGGTGGGACTAGAACTTGGAGAGATTTCATGGAGACTATTTCAAGAAAGCACAGTTGAAGAAACACATGGAAATAGACAAGGACAGTGTGGACATGGCACCAAGAGTCATTTAGATTGACTAAAAGAAGTGTCATAAGGGAAAATAGTAGAGACTTAGAATAGAAGGCCTTACATATGAAGCCTCAGGATTTTGAACTTTATTGATAGGCAATAAGGAGCTGGTTAAAGAGAGTCATAAAAAGTGTCTGCTGAGACCTTGCACCCTGTCCTATTATCACCATGAAACTGCATCTTGACCTACCAGATGGGTCTTTGAGATGGTTCTGTGGGTAAAAGCACTTCACACCAAATCTGACAACCTGAGTTTCATCTCCAGGATCCACATATTGGGAGGTGAGAAGCAACTCCCACAAGCTGTCCTCTGACACACATACACACACACACACACACACACACACACACACACCCCTTAGGCACACACAAAAATAAATAAGCAAATACATGTAATAAAAATGCAAAGGTGGGTATTCTGATCTATGTTACACAGGAATACTTCCCCATCTACTATCCAAAGATCATGGGATCTGACCCCTAGGTACCTGTGCGAGGTGAGGATGACAGAGCACTTGTTCTGTACCTCTTCTGAAATGATCCTCCAGAGGTGCCGTTTTGACTTAGGATCCATCCCAGAGCTCGGCTCATCCTTAATAGAAAGCAATCAGAAAATGTATTAAATTAATTAATTTTTGATAAGGTTCTTCACATGAATTAATGCATCTCAATTCCCTAGCACAGAAGTCACTTTTTGAGGTCCTGTGACTAACTCGTTCTATACATAATAGACTCTTTTTGCTGCTGTCAAAAAGCTCAGAATTAAGTATTTAAAATTGTCAGTCTGTTTGAAAAGTGTTTTGGTGAAGCTGACACCTTGTTACTTTACATCTAGCTCCGATGTTTCTTTGGAAAAAAATCTGCTTCAATTACCAGCATAACAGAGTTTTTACATTTAATTCTGCGCTGTCACATATGTAGTGGGAACTACACCAACAATTGCCATCTTTCTCCTAAAAGCAGAATGTGGCTATGAATGATAATGTCATGTGAAGCAGAAGAAAACACAACTTGGTATTTCAGTTACTATGTTCCAGCTGTATTTTTAGTTTAATATTATTAATTGAAATTTAAGACTCTCCATGAAAACAAAAAATAAGATTTCTAGAAGTTGCCAAGTAGAAAAATCTACAGTAGTTTTCAAAGCAAATAGGGCTTTGGAAAGTTATTCACATACAGGATTTTAAAAAGTCACAGTAGATAATCTAAATAAGCAACAATAAAGCCTAACAGATGTTAAATATAAGCAAATTATCTGTCAAGACTAAACAGAAAAATTGAAAATATATCTGTAATATAAAAAATTGGATAATTAGAGGCTTATTTTGTATAATAATGTCTTAAATTTAATTAAAGGGATTAGTGTTGCTTTGGGGAAATGGTGATGGATATGTTGTTGTTGATTCTTTTTTGAAGAAAATGAAATATATAGTGAATGCATACAAAAGAAAGCACAGGGTTGTTCTCTCATGCCTGTATTTCTTCAGCTCATTACTGCACAACATTTACATGGTGCTTTTAACATTTTAAAGTTCTTTATATCTACTATCTCACAGGGGCACCTCAGGATTGTTTTGTTAAATTTAAGGGGTGTTTACACAATAGGATTCCATTATAAGCATTCACTGGCAGCGATATAATGCATTATAAGCTTCTGGTATTATAGAAAGATGGTTCTGTCTGGGCAGTTTAAATTTGATCCACTGTATGGCTTAATCCCTGGAATAATGTGGAGATTTATAACTGGATTTTTTTGTTTGTTTTTTTGGTCTTTTTGAGACAGGGTCTCCCTGTAGCCCCAGCTGTCCTGGAACTCACTATGTAGACGAGGCTGGCCTTGAACTCACAGAGATCCGCCTGCCTCTGCCTCCCAAGTGCAGGGATTAAAGGCGTGTGCCACCACGCCTGGCTATAACTGGATTTTTATCACATATGTTAAGGTTCTTTTAGAGTTTGGAGGTCCTCGAATGAAGACAATCTTCTAAAATAAGGGCAAGTATATTACTATGAAATAAACATCCTTTTTGCCATGTTGGACCAAAGGAGTAGAACAGTATATCACCAGTATGTGCAATTTATATTTCCAGGTGATCAATTTAATCCTGCAGTTTTTGTCCAAATATAAATGTGGAATGTATTCCTTGAACCCTTTCCCAAATTCAGATAAAATAACGCAGTATATTATCCATCACATTACAAGATAAGTAACTTGTATTTTTAAGTTACAAAGGAATAAAATTTTAGCACAAAATATTGTTCTATATGTGCCTTTCTTTCTCAGTAGAAACTGGAAACTGTTAGTTCACTTTCTCGGTACCTAACAGAAAGAGACATGATTTCATCAATAAGTGGGAATTAAACTTTATCATGTTCTGTATTTATTTGAAACCCATGAATTTGTTTCAGCTATTTCCCATTCACATGCTGAGTGTTTCCTCTGAAACCTCCCAAGCCATTGCTTCAGATGAAAAATGTTTTCTGTGGATACTGTTGTGGTAATAAATTATTTGCTGATATGAATTCTCCTAATGTGGGAGTATTCATGCTTTGTGCAGTGACTGGCACATAGTGAGACTTCACTTGTTGCTGACAGGCTGATGGAGGAGTGTTAACACACAGGACTGGACGTCTGTTCTAATTCTGTAGTGGCCTCATTCATAATGCTTCTCTTACCAGTAGGAGGATGGATGGCTTCCCTATCAAGGCCAGTGCAGTGGACAGCTTTCTTTTTGTGCCGTAACTGCACAGAGAGGTAGCTCTGTCCTTGTAGGGCATCAAGTGAAGTCTCCTTAGGAGTTTATGAACAGTCTGTGGATAAAAAAAGAGGAATTATATTGATTCTCCCCTGTACAAACCCTTATAGCATCAAATGGAACAAAAATCTGCCTGTAAATAGATTTTTTTCCCCATGGAGAATATATAGGTTTAGAAAGAATGATAATATTTAGGTTCAGCATATATTTTATTTTCATCTTCAAAAGACCACTTAAAAGAATTAAGAGTTCATTTAAATAGATAAAAGTGATTACTCAGAGCCTCATTTTCAGATTGGATTTTTCCCCCAAATGTGCGTGTGTGTGTGTGTGTGTGTGTGTGTGTATTTACAAATGCAGACTGTGTGCTTTAAATTGTTACCAGAGTGTTCTGTTACAAAGCTTAAAGGAACTAGGACAGTCCAAAGGTAGGTTTCTCATTGATTGTTATCACTGCTTTCTTCATCTTCTTACTGAGCTGTGAGTTGTCATAAAGGCCTTTAGTCTATTTAAAACTGACCCACTATCAAAACTGTCATGTATTAGGAATCATGAGTCCTTGTGGTTGTTTCTGTAGTTAAGTAACCCTGGCAAATAACTAAATCCTAGTTGGATGTGCCAAATGGGTCTGCAGGGTTGTACAACAGAGGAACATGGACCAAGACTTCAGCCATTCCATTACGAAGATAAATTGTTACAAGTAGGTGCAGAGTCAAAATCAGGGCTGCGATTATAGCTCGGTGGTAGAATTTAGGTTTAGCATGCATGAAGCCCTATGTTCAATCCCCTGCACTAATAAAAAGAGAAAGTAAAGAAATACAGAAGAAAGAATGGAAGCCATTCTATTTCACTTGGGCATTTTGCTGTTAATTCTGTGGACGAATGCTTATTTGAATGGCAAAGAATTACGAGTGTCACCAATCACCTTCAACTTCAAGCTGAACACAAGTGTGAGCTTTTACCTCTTAAAAGCGTAGCTGAACAAACCCAGGTAGAGAAGTGTCTAAAGCCGAGTTCATCGATGTGGATATAGAACACATAACTATGGCAAAGTGGATGACTGTTTTAAGAAAAACTTTATGGTTTCCCACGTGTCAAGTTAGTTTTGCCAGGAGTAAGATGGGAAGAGAAGCAGAAGGGAGCTGTAATGGTCTTCAGATCATCACGTGTGCTCACCTCTTTGATATCTTTCTCTGGAATCCCATGTACTCTGGCATAGAAATACAAATGTTCTTCCACGGTTACCAGGTCATCTAAGGCATCTTCCTGAGGGCAGTAGCCAACCAATGAGCTGTGAGAATCAACATGACCTAGGAATCTGAGTACAGAGGATGATAACATGTGAGTTCCTGTAGATAGGTTTCCCTTTGTCCCTAGATAGTAGGAAAGTGGCTCTATCCTTGTTACAAGATCTTGTGGTTTTGATTTAAAAAGGGATAAAATAATCTCATTATCACAGTCACACTTAAGGGTATAAAAATCTCCAGTCACTTCAATGACCCCCCCCAGGAGATATAATGACACAATCACAAATTGCATAAATGTTCATTTAAATTGTCTAAATGATTTGGTCTGAGTAAGAAGATGCATTTGTTTTCTGTACCCGCTCTTATTTCTGATCAGAATGTTCCCACTGGATGGAATGATGTCTCCAGTCAGCATCTTGAAGATAGTGGTTTTTCCTGCTCCATTCACACCAAGAAGTCCAAAGCACTGGTACAAAGAGAGGAATAGAAAAGATACAAGCCTTAGAGACACGTTGCTGTTGTGTCCCCTCCTCCCTGGGTGAAATACCTTCCCAAGAAAAATAAATCACCAGAATTATTAATGGACAGTGTGCTTTGGTGCCGACGTTTGTTAAGACTTTCTCTTCTCAAACAAATGGGTGCTAACGTGCTCTCTTTTCTCTCTAACTACCTGATCATTTGTATATATACAGAGGATTTACATATTATGTTAAGGCACCCCTTTTATGACATGATAAACTACCTCTCAAGTAAGATATGCTAACCCGACAAAGTAATTACATTTATAGATTTCACATTATTTATACAAAATTACAACTTTACTGAAAAAAAGCTACCGAAGCAATAATTTCTTTATGCTTCTGAATAAATCTGATGCTCAAAGTCTACACCTCTGCTCAGAAAGTAAAGGGAAATAGACATGTTCTTTTCCTTCTTTCAAATTTAATAGTGTGTCTGTGAAAAAACACAAGAATATAAATGAACGCAGTGCTGGGACCTCATCTCTGGAAATGTTTGACTTCATGGTAGATCCTGAAGAGGCCTAGAAATGAAAGGTTGAGGGAAGCACCCTGAACAGGCTTCCTGCCTGAAAGTCTACCCCAGGCACAGCAATAATGGAAGGAGCTCAGGGCTTGTGTGGTGGGGGTTAGTGAAACCTTCCCTGCAACAGCAAAGATGTATATAGCAAACCACACACTTATCTCATGAAAATACTCAGAGCTTGACTTTTATATTCTAGAAGAAGACTAAAGAAAAATAATGAAGACTTTTTGGCTGTAATTTATGCCAAGCAAAACATGGCCCCTACCTCTCCAGCAGGTATCCCAAGGCTGATGTTGTTGACAGCGATGATCTTTTTGTGGATGAGTTGGTAGGTCTTCGTGAGATGATGGAGTTGGACCAGGTCAAACTCGGCTGCACCACTCTCAACTCGTAATCTCTCAGCCCGCACATCTTCATCTTCATCTGCTGTCTCCATTACAGGTGAAGACATACATTTTCTGAAGAAGAGTCTACAAAACAGACACAGTGAATTTGTATTAATTATTCGAATGATACTTCTCAACTGTGGCATTTTAATGTGCTTTCACTCCACTGAAAGTATACTATCAATTGTTAGCTTCTTTTACATTTATGGTATTTCAAGAACTTAATAATTAGGCTGTGTTTTATATATTCACTGTAATCCTGGGGAAATAGTGTTGACTTTCCATGTCTAAAATGTTTTCAGATCCACTGTTAAAATACATAATCCCAATTTTAGGAGCAATGAGATGTATATCTCAAAGGTAGTTTCTGATAGGGAGTTCAGAGTCATGAGTAGAAGGCAACACATATAAACCCAAGATCAACTGCCACCCTCTTAGGAAAGCTCTATGTTCTCCTCACCCTCCTCTTGCTCCTATTTATTGTGGTAAATCTGAAATAAGATCTATCTGCTTAACAATTTTTAATTTTCTTTGTTTTTCAGGGGAGAGGGGATGCTGGGGATAGAACCCTGGTATGAGCAGGTCTCCACTTCTAAATCATCTATACTATGAGTGTTACTCATTCTGTATCCTGTTTACTACTAATGTCTCTTCTAAGAGCCAGGAAAGAATTGAGGATTATCAGGCTGAAAACTCATTAAATCTCAACCCCACTTTCGTATATCTTGCTTAACAAGCACCAAAACAATTTGAAAGTCAGCAAATCAGTCCTTCCAGGTCTTCTTTGAAAGTCTCTTCTTCTTTTAAAGATAATCCCAGGATTCCAAAATGTGCCATTTTCTTTGAATCTTCTCTACTCATACATTTGGTCTCCAAACATGGAAAGTGCCTTATAATCTCCTGCCATGACCACCTATTTTTTGTCTATCTCTATTATAAACTCTGTCTTAACTTTCATTTCTCAGTAACCTCAAACTGCTCTTCCAACCACACAGTATGCCTCCATGACCCACTACTTCAGCATACTTATCTTCTTTCCAATCAAATAATGTCATTCTTTTTTAAAATCGTCTACAGTGTTTTCCTCTATCTTTGCTCTTGTCTTTTCTTATATTATTAATTAATTAAATTTTTATTTTTCAATAGCTGATACACATATATGATATTAAAGTTTGAATAGTACTAGAAATAATCAATAGCAATCACTAGTAATCAACCAGAACCAACAATAAGGATAATCTATGGAATTGATATATAAAATATAGATTTCTTTTTAAGTCACGTGGTAATATATTATATACTATACGCAGTTCTTTTTTATAACTCTTTATTTTGGGGGGAACTTCATACATGAATACTGCTTTTGCATCATTCCACCCCTCGTTCTCTTCCCTCAAATCCTCTCCAGCTCCCCACTCTCTTTCATTTTCTCATCTTCTTCTTTGATTACTACTGTTATACATGCACACATCTATAAATACACACACACATATATATACATTTATAAATACATACACATAAATATATATATATATATATGTAGTGCACTGAGTCCACTTAGCAGTGCTCATGGGTGCATTTGTTTTAGAGCTGTCCACTCGGGATTAGATAACCTCTCAGGGAACTCATCCCTGGGGGAAACTGATTCTCCTTCCCTTAGCATCCATCTATTGGCTGTAGCTCTTCATCTAGAGGTGGGACTCTGAGCTTTCCCCCATTCACACTGGCGTGTCCACTGGTCATGTCATTAGCAGGCTTCCTTAGGCTATCATATTGTGGAAGTTTCATGGGTGCAGCTTCCTGATCAGTTCTAGAATGCAGTATCTCACAGTGGGCATCCTGCTATTCTGGCTCTTACAGTCTTTTTGTCCCCTCTTCTGCAATGTTATCTGAGTCTTAGGTGTATGGGTTGCATTGTAAATGGTATATACAGTTCTTAATCTTGAATATTTTATTCTAATAAATCTTAGAAACAATCCCAAACATTGCACAGATAACTGGATTATTCTCTGTATGTGCGTCTGTGTGATGTATGTGCATGTACGTACAGGTGTATACACCTGAGCATGCCAATGTGGAGGCTAGAAAAGGATGTTGGGTGTCCTGCTCTGTCACTCTCTACATTATTCCCTTGAGACAGGGTCTCTCAATGGATCTGGGCTCACAGTCCCTGATAGACTAGTTGGTCAGAAAGCCCTGGGAATCTCTGTCTTCTCTCAGTCTCAACAGCACTAGGGTTACAGGCACTTTTATGTGTGTGCTGGGGATCTGAACTCAGATCCCCATGCTTGTACAGCAGGCACTCTTACCCAAAGAGCTATCTCCTGGTCCCTGGATCATTCTTTCCAATGTATTGATAGTGTTATATTAATTGATTGTATGTATGTAATTTCAGCAGTCCCTAAATAAAGAGCATGCTGATTGTTTCCACTCTTTTGCTGTTAGAAATGGTTAGTATGATAAGTAATTTTCTGGATGTGTAAGTCTATATTTGTGCGTGGTATATCTGCAGGAAACTTCCTAGAAAGGCTGTGCTGAGTCAGGGTACATATTCCTTCTATACTTCTTGTAATTTATGATGCTCCCCTTGCTTTATCTCAGTCATCTTCCCAGACTCGTCAACATGCTACACCCCTAATCTTCTCTCCCATTTCTGCCTGTGAAAGGCTTTATCATCTTCCAAAACTCAACATTTTCTGTATCCAAACATCTTTTCTCTCCATCACTGGCTCTTACTGGCTAACAATTTATTTAATTTTGTTCTTTACAACAATACCTTCTCACACCCACAATAAGGCTACACAACTACTGTTTCCTAGAGTTAGATGAATGATAATGCTACCAAGTTTTTAAAAGGTTTTAGAGCAAGACAATTCCATGTTATGGGAATTAAGTCCCATCATGGTGACAAGCACTGTTCTCATATGACTCACCTGAACTTCTTGATCAGCCACTCGTTGATTAAGAGTCTCAATAAGAAAAACATGGTGCCCTGAGAAACCAGAGCCACAAACATTGCACCTAACTTGTTCATTTCAAAGGTTTCACTTGGATACTCCACACCATATGCTTTTAGGAAATCCAGGACTGCCTGTTGCTGGGAGAGTTCAATCAAACCGTAGCCAAAACAGAATTGAGGAAATATCAGGAAAATTCGTTTGAGGGTTTCAGAAATAAGCTCTAAAGTCTGAAACAAGAGAAGTAACAACAAAATCTAGTGTTAGAATTCCAACAAGTTGACAAAAATTTAAAACAAGATGAAGACATATGGAGAAGTCTATGTAGATTGGCAATTATTTCACATTTGCATACTGATATTCACTATAACTAAATGATAGAGTTTACTGCGAAACATGAGTAGACAATAAAATACCAGGTTCAATCATGGAGGTAAAATCACTTCTAGGCCTGCCTTAGATTTGGGGAATGTAAGGGCTGGCTAGAGTGTTGGGATCCACATCAAAGTATCAGTAGGTGCCTGGACGAGGGAAAACTCAATACAGTTTTAGAACCTCAGGGAATTTTTACTTGGAAAGGGACTGAAGTGGTGAAATGAGGTGGAAGGAGAGACAACATATCTCAAAGAGGAGCAAATGGCTCATTTTCACGTTATTCACACTTGAGGCCAACTGCTTCCACCTCATGAATTTTCTCCCTCCTCCTGGAGTGGGCTTGCCTATTCCTCAGTTCACTTCATTTCCTCTCCATTCTTTGCTGTTCAATTGCCTGGCACTGTTAGTGCTTCTCTTCTCACTAATCATAATCGTCAGCTCTGAATGGAAAGTGATGCTCACAATGAAGTAGATTCCGATACATGATTGAAAGGGAATGAATTAGGTTTTTTTCTCTATGAGTGTTCAAATGAATCCTAACCCATAGTCATATAACTAAGCCATTCTCCTTGTCATCACTGTACCACAGGAATTTGTTAATGAGTAAAATGTTTAGCTGACCAATAGCTGCCATGATTTACTTAGTGTCATACAATATATTTGATTTAGCCTCTATCACTCTGCTCAAGACCAGGCAAAGGTCACAAGTTTTGACACTCAATAAATGTAATAATAGGCATCAACCTAGATGGAGCTAAATTTTTTTAAAGCGATACTCTCTGCTTTCCTAAATTTAATAAAACCAAATGATATTCTTTTCCATTTAAATGTAGATTAAAGAAAAGCTTTCCACACCAAGTGTGTTAAGGTTTCTGATACATTCTTTGAAGTTTAACTGAATAAAAGACCTTACCGGATCATTAGGCTTTTCCTTGGAAAGAAAGTATACCACCGACAGAGAGACAATGGAATTGATGCCAAAAAACAGGTTGACACAGACGTATGTGATAAAAGCCATTCCTGTCTCATGGAAGAGACCAGCCAGCAAGTACATCCAAGAAAATGTTGCATAGCTGTAGATTAATAGTACTAAAAATTAAAATTATGCCTTCACTATTCTACTTTACAAAACAATAAACTAAAGCTCAAACGGGTTTCCCAAATAAAAGTAAACACTAGTGATGAGTTGCCAAACCCTGAATCTTGCTTCTCATTCCTCTTTTTGACAAAAGATCCCCTAAAGATGCTTTTTTAAAATGACAGCGAGAAGCCTTTCTTTTAAGGAACTTCAGATAGTTCCCCATCATTACAATTCCAAACTGATTCCCCGTAGGAGATGGTGTCACCCTGTTTAGGCAAGACTTCTGTTGTTCAGAAATAGGAGTTCAATCAATGTAAATCTTATCATTTAAAATTGAGGAAAAATAATGACATCCTAAGTTAGCTAGGCAGATGACAGAGTGTGGTTAGAAGTTGTGTGGCCTATGTTGAGCAAAGTGTTGAGCAACTTTGGGAGAAATTAAATAGCACTAGAGAGAGCAAGGTCCTGCATTTGCCAGTTGTTGGCTAGGAGACAGCACCATGCTTTCAGAGTAGAAGCAATTTTTACCCTGAACATTGACTATGTCAACCTGTAGTAGTTGTATTAGCCTAATACACAAACAACAATATTTTGTGTACCCTTAGATAGCTCTAAAAAGATAAATAAAATAAATACACATGAAGTTATCTATACTTTAAAATGTTATGTATAGTCATACAATTTGTCAATATATATTCACACACATACATATTTTTCTGGTCGTTCTGAAGCCCATTTTTATGTTAATTAGACTACATATGTAAATTGGTAAGCACAATACTTAGCACCTACTGAGGGCTTGTTAATGATAACAACATTAATTGTCTGAAGTATGATACATCCCGTGAACTAGCAACTGTAATGTATTGTTAGTCATCACTCATGTCAAATGAGACCCCAAGACAATTGTAAATTAACTAATGACACTGAGGTCCTATTTGTGACTAGGTGTGTTTAATTCTGTTCATTTTGATTTCATTGCTTAATCAGCAGCTTACCCAAACAGCAAAAGCAGGAGAGATACAGCGCCTAGATTGCTTTCACTGTAAAAGGCAGGTAGTTTGAAAATCGCAATGACACCAATTGAGAATGCTACAGGGACCAAGTAGAAGACCTAGAGGGATAGGTAAAACAATGTTTAATATGTGGTAGGCATTTTTTAAATCAATAAACCATCTACTCTAAAGCTGCAACAAATTGACCTAGAAAAAACTTTGAAGGAATGAATTTTTGTTTATCTTCCTGTTGCTTGTAAAATTCAGCTTGTTTTACGTTGGTTTTACTTTAGAATTTGTCTTCTCCGATATGAGGTTAAGCCAGTTTTCCATCTATATAGATATACAAGAAGTCCCTAGTGTTCCAGCCTTGGGGCTTAAGAGTTGGGATCATTCAATGACAGAGGTTCAGGGAGAAAGATAAAACAGCCAGGTATCTTGGAATTAGAGTCAGTCCTCAAAGTATTGATTTCATTTTGAATGCTGTGGCTCACTCAGATGGTTGATTTCTGAGGTTTGGTTATCATTGTGAGACACTCTGTGCAAAACAGCAAGATAGCAGGTCCTGCACATTCTTGGAATTACAGGTATATGAACAAACCCTCAGTATTCTGTTGACAAGCAGAAATATTAAAGGCACAATAGTTTTCGGTGCACAGGGAAACTGGTGGTGATTTAATTTGAGGGTGGAAGTAAAGGGGATCTCCTGAATTGAAATAAGCCCTGTGTGTGTGTGTGTGTGTGTGTGTGTGTGAGAGAGAGAGAGAGAGAGAGAGAGAGAGAGAGAGAGAGAGAGAAAGAGAGAGAGAGAAAGAGAGAGAGAGACAGCAGCATCTCAATATTAGTAGACCATCACAGAAGTATACACTCGAAATTTCCATAACATTAAAGCTCCTATTAAGTCCAGAGCAGTCATTACCATTCTTTTAAGCTTGGCTTCTACAAAAAAACACATTTCAGACCTCACTGGATGCATTAACAAAATGGATATGCAGTTGATTACTCTCCAACTCTTCAAGCCAATGATCTTGACAACAACTCAGACAATTTCACCATAATCATAGGCAAACGCACACTCATCTGGGCTCATGGCCAACACTGGCACGTTTGGAGTCAAGAATGACCATCTGAACTCTGGGAACACTCTGTGTAAATGGGAGAGCTGTCAATGAAATACATCCTTCCTTTTCCCTGCTAATCTTCTTTAATGTGTCGTTCAGCGGGAGCTGCTACTTCTAATTTTTCACTATTAGTTGATTAAATTTTTATAAGCTTGATTATTTGGCACAATTGGGTAATGCTGCTAAGCTTCTGTTTTTCCACTGTAGTGGTTCTCAGACTTCGCTGTGCTTAAAAATCACTCTGGGACCTTGTTTGAAATGCATAGTGCACTCCCCACTCCCAAGATATGGATTCAATAGATCTGGAGTGGGGCCCAGGACCCTGTATGCTATCTCTGGGAATCTGATATATCTCAGAGGTAAGGACAAGTAGGCTTCATTTTCTCCAACCATCAGCTGAATATAAGCCTGACTCCAGTTGCTTCTTCCTTTTCTTTTCTTTTTAAAAAATATTTTATTATTTTAATTTTATGTGTTTGAGTGTATTGAAGCAATGTCCACAGAAATGTCAGAAGAGGGGGGTCAGACATTACAGACAATTGTTTGCTGCCATGTGGGTGCTGGGAACTGAACCCAGGTCCTCTGCAAGAGAAGTCTGTGTTCTTAAATACTGAGCCATCTCTCCAGTCCCCAGTTGCTTTTTCTTAATTTACTGGTCTTTTGGTAATAATTAGAATAATTAGAGTAAATAACACTTACATACAAAACTGGTAACTTTATTCAAATCAATCATTTCTTGCAATGACAAAAGTTACTCACCATGTCATAAATGAAATTTGTCACCCAGTAGCATGTCACACCGATGCCAGAAATGTGCTGTAACTGCTTGGCTTTGGTCTGATGTTCCCTGACAACATAGGTCACAAAGCTGGCAGTGGTGACAGAGTAGCCCATCAGGATGGACAGCGCCACTAAAATATCGATTAAACTGCTGATTCTATCATGAGCAATAGAGAGGAAGGCACACATAAGTTTTTGGAACCTTTTTCCTTTCAGGCAGATTCATGACTAAAACCACCAACAAAACAGCACAAGACTTGACTGTGACACAAATAAGGCTTCCTGTAAGGCAGCCGGATAATATCTTCGACATGACTCTGCTGTGACCCTGAAATAAATGTAGCACTAGTGCACCTGAATTGGCTAGGGATGTGTGATAGGAAGAAACTCGGTCTCCAAGGGTTACAGAGTGTATGCAAGGGATATATAGATCTTGAGCAAAGAAACAGTACTTAAATGTTATTCGTGGAAGCTGAAATGATGAAGTACTTATGCACTTGACTCATAAAAGCAGCAGACTGGGTGAATCTGCAGTCAACAAGCTCTACTTGGCAGCCCTACGCTACACCCTTTCAGAAACTTCCTTTTATCCCAGTCAGTGACTTATATTACCAGCTCTTCTAGATTGACACTCATTCAGATACAACTATGATTTCCAATTATAGCACTTTATGCAGAAGCTCAGCTATGCCAAGTAGAAAGTAGCCATGCCAGGGAAATCTGCTTACGTGGCTTGTTCTTGGTCTTGCACGCCGGGATAAGGATGGCTATACATGATGATCCCTGGGAGAGGAGAGAGTTCTGTTAGCAGGTGTTCAGCTAACCAGGATCAGCAATGTAGAATAAGTTTTTCCATATGCTATAAGCTAAGGAACGTTACTTTAGAAATTTCTTTGTAAAGGCGAATGATCACTGCCCCCCCCAGCCCCTTGTGTGATTATTGGCATTCTAATAAGAAAAGAAAGATTTTTTCACTTGTTTGGGACCTTTTGGAAGGAGACAAGACAATAACTTATATTTCTAAGATAGCATGTGTCATACTAAATAATGTAGCCCCTTGTCCTACATTTAAACAATTGTTTTATACTTTGTTCTAACTGATATGTTTGCATTTAGGCTGCATTTCAGAAGAATAATACATTTAGGCAAACAATTCAAATGGGCATCAATTATACTCATCCCCCCCTCCCCTTACCAAAGAGCAGACATCACCTCAGCCCTTCTTCCTGACCCATGGCAGTAGACAGAGTAATCTGAGAAGGTTCCTCTATCTCTTGCTACTTAAGATGTCTGTGGTTCTGATGCCTTGCCAGAGTAGGTTTTGGACCTTCAGTCTTATATTTCCATGAAGGTTCAAGAAGATTCAGAGCCTCTAGCTGGATCCATCATTTAATTCCAACACAAACCCAAATTTCTGGGCTCTCACAGGGTTGATTATACTTTCTGAGTTAGAAACAAGGCTCTTTTCTCTCTTTCCTTAAAGGATATTGCTTATCCAGTCAAAAGTCAACTGGAAGGTTTCCCAAAGACTATTGTGTGAAGGCAAAATCTATACTGCCTGGATAAATGTGGGAAAGAATGGTGGGGATGAGAATGAAGACGCCCCCTTTGCCTGAGGAGCCATAAACCAAACAAGAACTTTCACAGTTACTGCTTGCATCGTATATGCTCATACTGTTAGCACACTTAGGTGTAGTATCTGAATAGCAGACATAATTCCAAAAGAATATTCTTTATAGTAAATTAAACTTATAGCTTTTGTTTAGAAGACTGTGGCATTTTGAAGTTTAATTCTATAACAGTTCTATGCTGAGGAAAACCATACAGTTAAAACAACAAGGAAACAACACAAAGCCAGTTTGACCTTTGGCTTTAGTCACATCGCAGGGGAATTTACTTTTCTTATCTTCTGTGAAGATTAACGGATCCTGTAATTTTTTTTAAAAACTGAGGGTTACTTTTCCCCAGGGACCTGCTTAAACGCCTGCTTAACTGTATTATAGACACAGGAAATCGTGCATTTTATTTCTGCTTTGTATTTCAGAATCAAGAAATATTTTAACTCAACAGAGGAATCTTTGCAAACGGTGGACCAGGTAGTCTCACATGTATCTGGTTGAAAGTAATGTATCAGGACTAGAACCCTGTCTCTATAGATTCTACTATATCCAACATAATGTCTCAAGTACAGGGATTGATCAATGAATGCTATTAAATCAAATCAAATTTTAAATTTTCAATTAGTATCCTCCTCACACACAGCAACACAGTAAAAAGGCATTTTCTATGTTCTCTACAGATGCCAAGCTAAAACGAAATGTTTCCCATGGGCCACTGTTGCTAAGATAACAAAGGCTAAAACGAAATGCCAGAGTATAAGGAACATTGGGCTAGTGCTTTTGAAGCCACAACTTAGTTGCACAACATTTGCCAGAGAAGATATGCAGTGTAATATTCTTTGGGATAAGAACAGAATCTTCATGTGAAATTAACCACTAGAGGGAACCACATGAATATAACAGATATTGACGCTGCTAAGGAAAGCTAATTAAAATATTATATTAACATATTACGAGTCAAAGAAAGTCAACCTTGCAGCTAAAGTAAAATCCCACTTCATCCAAAAACCTAACAAAAATGTCTTCAAATAAGTGTGGGGGAGAGATGGTGAGAGAGCAAATGGGCTGACTTTTAAAGACAAGTGCTGTTGTCATGGGAGACCCCTCTTATGCATTCTAACACAATTTAAGTTTCTAGGGTGACATAAATTTCTTCTTTGAAAGGTATGAAATGCATCCCAGAGAGGGTAGAAAGCTGCCACTTTCATAAGTTTGAATAAGAAAAAATACTAAGGAACAGAAGGTATACCCACCACTCCTAGTCTCTATATAATTTCATCTAACCTTTATTTTTAAATTAGAAAAAAATAAATTTCATTTTAGGGTCAATATAAGTTTTAGGTTTTAGGAGTCTTATCTTTTAAGTTCTGTAACTTAAAATACAATGGTCAGGAGCTAGAGCAGGCCTAATAGAATCTAGACTGGCTCTGATTGCCTCCGTCTAAGTAAGGAACACTAATTATGAAGAAAACCAGGACACAGGAAAGCTGACCCTTCTGTTGACATCGTCTGTTCTCTCTCCTTGCTCCATCTCCTGTAGTCATTTTGTAGCTGTTACACTTTCATTATCTGTCACAACAATACACGTCTTTCATTCTGAATAAAACATCCCATAGAAAGGTTTTCAACAGTGTTTCAATCCAGATTCCACTCACCTGGCTTTAGTCACCATCTCGTTTAATTTATCACTTTTGACTTTTATCTTTTGTTGATGTGCTGGACCTAAGGACTATCAGTCTTGTTATATTCTTTATAGCTGTTCCTACTACAGAAGATACCAGAATAGTTGAAAGGCGAGGGAGGATGCTGCTTCCTATGAAATGAAGATTCCCCCAAATTCTGGATGAGTGTCTGACACCACAGTTTACCTCCACAATCACCAACACATTTGCAGACACTGGTATGCCCAACAGTGGGGTGATGAAAGAAAAAGGGGTCAGCTTTTATAAAAGATATTTTACGTCATTTTTCCTTCCTAATAGGCTATTTATTAGGCTCAGTCTTGGCCAGAAAATGTAGTACTCTGATTTTCCTCCATACTTATTTTTTTAGGATCATATGGAAGAATAATTTGAGCAAGACTTGAGATGAAATGGTCTGATGAACAGTAATTGAATTAGAAAATAATAAATCAATTTCTTTTAAATCCCAGCTCTACTTAAAAGTGATACAGAGACATTTTGGGAAATCTAACTGAAGTAAACCTCACCGTCTGAATAAACAGCTTGGAGCATTAACAAAAGGAACAGGCAGGCTCCAGACAGTCCCAGGTTCAAATCTGACTTCTGTACCTCAATGAAGAGACTACAAGGAAAATATTACTCGCTTTGCAGGGTGCTGTTTTGCATAAAACGTGTCTTATAAGTGCTCAATAAATAGTAGCACTTTGGGTTATGCATAGAACTTTCTAGTTTAAAAGTTTGCATATTTAGATTCATGAACAATGGCTATGAACATTATTTGATCAATTTTCCTCTATAGACAAATAGTTTTGAAATATTTCCCATGACACACCACCACTAGCTATGAGAGCAGACTGGCATCACTACCCTGACTTTATGAATGAGGAAACCAAATAAACCTGAAGGTAAGAGGATTATCTGGAAAGTTCCATCTGGCAGGAATTACTATTTCCAAACACTTTTTAAGGACCTGTGATTTAGATGCCATAAAACACAGGCCACTGGGGAAGCAAATACAGCATGAATGTTTACTAAAAGAGCAGTAGCAGAAGATGTAATTCAAGATGCTTCTGCACCAGGGACCCTACCGTGTCGGGCAGCATCGTATTCTGACATGTTAACTCGCAAGAGGAAGTTGTTGAAGCTGTTGAGGTAAGCTGGAAGGGAGTGATAGCCTTCTGGATCATACCACACCTGTCAAATTTCAAAATAAGACTCTTTTGGATTGTATTCAAATAAGTTAGATTATCATATCATCTGATAGGCTACCTGATTTCTATTTAAAATGAGACCACCAATTTCCAATAACATATTTCCTCTTGGAAGATAATGAGATACCCCTAGAGTGTCGATCACAGACCAATCTGTAGGTTTAAAACTTACAGATGGGCACAGGTTGGAAAGTCAATTATTCTGAGTGGTAGGACTGAGTTAGTAGCTGTTCTAGATCTTTTCTACAGGAAAGGCTTGAAACGAACTAGAGAAGTCGTTGCGATTTCCAGCTCTATGGCATGTCCATGGTGATTCTGAGGCTAGAATTAAGATATTCTAAATCTCAACAGTAATAAAAACAAATATGGAAAGATTATAAAATGCAAGCATTAGGTTCTTAACAACAAGACTGACAACTTTGAAAGCTCCACTAACTCTTTCTTCCCAGTTCTAACCCACAGGATGTAGATTACTTTACCGTCTACATCAAAAAAAGATCTTTAAAACATTTGTGCATTTCAATTCAAACAAAATTCATAACTCAAATTTGCAATCTGATTTTGAGAGGAATTATTTCATATTAGAAACATAAACTTTATTTGTATAAGAATATCTGTGCAGTGTGTGCAGAGTGAAAAGGAAGAAAAGGACATTGAAATCCTCAGGTTCCTGTTTTCTATATAGCCTTGTGAAAATCTAAAATGAGCCCAATAGTATCTATTATAGGGATGTTGTGAGGGTGGAATTAGGTGCTGTATGTAAAGGTGATACTAGTGCTTGGCATGTAACTATCACTAACTGAATGAATATTAGTCTCTCTGCTTTCTCTTAGAATGTGTATGACTCTCATTACCAAATGAGAAATACGTAAAGGATATTAAAAATTACTATGACTAAAAATAAATAAACAAATAACATCCCTATGGCTGCTGTTTATCATCTGGATAATCCCATGTGTCTGATTTCCATTGGTCTCAAAGCATGTGCTATCTGGAAGAAAAAGCTCAAGAGATTGTTTATCTCCATGAGATTTCATTGTCCTTCAGGTTAAATATATATGTTCCCATTCTCTAAAAAGTTATGACACATACATAAAGAAAAGTGCAGGAAGCATGAAAGTATAGTGCTACAAAAAATCCACAAACTTCACACACTTATAATCCATTACACACAGAGAGAAAGCAGTAACCCTGATCCTTCCAAGTCGTGTTCCCCTTTCCTTGAAATTGTAGGACTGCCTTCTGCATTCTCTTAAATTTTATCGGAAGGCAATCACAGTCTGTGTATTACTTTTGGTCCCTTTATTTGCTTATCAGAAATGTGCAGATTTAGCCTGCCTTCTATACAGAGTTGAGTGCTTTAATTTCCATTGCTGAAAGTTCTATTGAATGAACGAATGAATAAACAAATATGAACTAATTTATTCTATTACATGTGGACACTTGGAGCTGTGTCTTTGGCTATTATGCGAAGTCCACTGTGTACAGTCTTGTCCACGTTTTCTGGTTCTTTATATATAGTGTTTCTTTATACATAGGACCAGAACCACTGTGCTATGGGACACTCACACATCATGCCAAATTGACTTTATATGTACACATACATGAAAATGCTTGACTATGTCAATTTCATATTCCTCTTTATGTGACCTCCCAGAAGAAAGACCCCAATTTACCTTAGCAAGAGTTCTATTGACAGGAACTGCTGTTATATCAAAACGAAGGTCATTAGTCAAATTCAGTCCAAAACTCCAACCTCCGTATCTACATAGAATGATAAAATTTATGTTTGTTTTACTGGTTAAATCTTTATACGTTGATCTAAAACACTTAAGAAGAAACTATTTTTTTTTCTTTCCATTCAAAAAACATCTACAGTATGAAATAGATACAACTTGACAAATATTTTACATTTCACTGATTCCTCTTATTTTAGTCTCAAGGGTCTATTACAGTTAAAGGCAAGAAATTCATGTAAACAGATGCATTAGCTAGTTGTGGTGGCTCACAACTGTAATTTCAGGACCCAAGAAGTAGAGGAAGGGGGACTGCTGTAAGTTCAAGTCAACCTTGGCTATACAAGGAGTTCCAAGCCATACTGAGCTACAATGCGAGATCCTCTCTAAAAATATATTTCAAAAGAAACTCTACATTTAACAATTTCACATGTGCAGTAATCATTATAAAAATGAGTGACACAAAATCTAATTATCTTTTCCACTTTAATTTTACCATGAACTATCTCAAAATGCAACATTATGGTGCTTAAATATTCTCTTTAGGTAATTAATATCAGAATCATTTAGTTTCTTATTTTTTTCATATGACTCAATTTCCTGTCGATCCCATTTTCCCCCATAGCTTGCTGGCTGGTGCTATATTTTTTTTCTCTTGAATGCTCGAGGCAAGTTTGACATGTCAGTTTATGGTCCTTTAAAAATAAATGATTTTTTAAAATCCAAGTAATAATTTCCAGAATAGATTAATTTAGATACCCACCAAATTAGAGTCAGCTTAAATAATGGTAGAGTGTGATTTATACTTCAATTATCTCATTCTAAATGTGATGCTTTAGAGCTATAGCTTTTAACATGCAAATGACATTATAGTGTATTTTAAAGGCAGATTTTTAGGACAGTTTGCTCATAGTAAGCCCTTTTATTTATAATAAAATATTATTCATCACTTGCCAAAAGTTCCTTAGGTTGGGTTGGGATTTCTTACCCACTCCTCCATGTCTATGCTGGGACTTTTGTCTGGTTAGAGATTGCATACAACTCATGCATGCCATCACCATTGCTGTGAGTTCAGATGGGTAACTACCACCTGTCAGGAAAACTCTGTTTCCTTGTGGTCATCCACCAGCTCTGACTGTTAGTCTTCCCCGATACCTCTTCCCTGAGCCTCAGGAAGCAGAGGTTTGAAATCGGTGTTCTTTTTTTTCATTTTTAGTATTCTATTGAGTTTTTGTTCATTTCATATAATAGTTTTTATCAAATTCAGACCCCTCACCGTCCACACCTTCCTATAGGCCCCTGGGAAATTTCTTACCATATGTGAAATATGGATCATTGTCTTTTTGAAACAGGGTCTCCCTGTAGCCCCAGCTGGTCTGGCACTCTCTATGTAGACTAGGCTGGCCTCAATCTCATAGAGATCTACCTGCCTCTGCCTTGAGAGTGCCAAGATCAAAGGCATGCTCCATCACACCTGACCCTAAATATGGATCTTTATATTTACAGACAAGTGTTCCATATACCACTCATCAAAGAAGCTTCTTTTTACAACAGATGGAGCATATTACAGAGTTCTACAGCTGGTCACACACAGAGAATATATGTCTGACAGATTCCCAACCCTAGGTGACACATCTGCAGTGGAACCTCTAATCCTAAGGCTCACGGAACATAGTGGAACAGGGGCTGGAGAGAATACTAGTGCAAGTTTCAGGTCTCACCAGCGAAGCTTCCTTGTACAACAGAGTGAGATGCACACAGAAGACCACAACTAGGTAAGTTTTCAAGAATAAGAGACTGCAAAGTCCATGTTCCTATATAAGACTCCTATATTAAATGTCACCCACGCATGGCTCAGGGGTCATTGAAGAAGAGGGGGTGGAAAGATTGTAAAAGTTCATGAACCTACGGGAGAGGATTTTAGACCACTGGAAGTTTGTTCATGTGAACTTGCAGCAATGGTGACAGCATACACAAGACTCATGTGGACTCAACAAGACAAGGGTCCAGTGTGGAGCAAGGGAAATGGGCTGCGGGCTGACCCTAGCCTTGGAAGGGTTGGCAACCGATTACTGCTGGGTGATGGAGAGTAGATCTTCTTTAAGATCTCTAGATAGGTTGACTAGACTCCAGTGGATGAACTTGCACTGAAGGACATCTGGGTACAAATCCTTAAAAATATTTTAGAGTGAATGTAAATCATTTATGTATGTTTAGAAATGAAGGAGGGAAGAGGTGGGGGAGAAAAGACAGCAATGACTGTGAGTTCCAGAACTTTACATCATGGTAAATGTGCAGGGGACTCAGGCACATGGCCTTGCCACACAGGGGGGTATCTAATCTACATTTTGAGATATTATTGCCACTCAGGACAATTGTCACAAAAACTCATGTTTGAAACTCTCCAAGGAGGTATAACCCAGTGAATAGCTCCTCTTTTTCTTCAAGGAAAAATAAGTTCAACACTACTTTTTTGGGAGGAGGGTTGTACATTTTTTATTGAATTTTTGTGTATTTCATATAGAACATCTTAAGCATCTTTATATCCCCCTCCCCACTGGTACCCTCCCATAGCGCCCCCCAATTGGATTTCATGCATTTTGTCATTTGTTTTAAGGAATATTGAGACAAGTTAGTGTTCCCAGATCCCTCAGTGCAAGTTCGTCCACTGGGGTCTACTCAACCTATCTAGAGACCCTCCCTTTAGATCAGCTCCTCTTAACCCATCATTAATCAGCTGCCAACAGTTCTTCAGCTAAGACTGGGGCCTGCTGCCCATTTCCACAGTTCTATGCTGGGTTTTTGTCTG